TGTGTTGTTATTGATACTGGGATTTTTACAGCACACAATGGAACCAAAGATGCCTTTAGAACTTATCAGTTGAAGTCTGCTTTACTCTGAAGACATCACACTGTCATAGTATCTGTTCCAAGTAGCAGAGTTTTAACCCTCTGGATGTTTACTTGGAAACCTGATGCATCACCAAGCTATCACAGCCACTTCTGGCCTCGTATAAGAATGAAAAATGTGCCAATCTGAATGAAAATTGCCACCACAAAAATGGAGGCACATTATACTCCTATCCTTTGTGTTTTAGATCCTACATCAAAGGCTTGGTTGGTCCTCAGCATCCTACTGAAATTGTTTCAGAGAGGGTTTGTCCTTTAATGAGACTGTTAAAGAGTTTTAATCTTGCTCTATGGTGCCACTGAATACTGGTAAAGCTGATTATAGGTTAAATAGAGATAATAAGATCTCCTTTTGATGCATGTCACAGAGTGGTTTTAATTCACACTTCTATTTTTGAACAATCTCTTCGGATACCAGTCGTTTGGCTATTGTTATGGAAAAATAACTACTCTATTTTATGCCACTATTTGAAGACTTACTAGAATCATCCTCAGATACCGTTGCATCAGCGAGACACTTGACCACAAGTTGTTCAGTCAGGCCATCTTTGACATGTTAATATATAAAGCAACCGAGAAAAAAAATCTTTAATTGTGGAATACGGCACTTGTGCAAACTGACATCTCTTCACCGAGATGTTAAATGATGAGCATGGCAGGGTGAAAAGACACAGGAAATTGATGTGTGCGAAAGCAGCATGACCTGAAATTCTGTAAATGAAAGAGGCTGATGTTGAATCTCACTCCTTTAGAGGCATCAATCAATGTCCAATCTGAAAAATGAACGAATGTTCCTCTGTGTTCCACTGAGCTATGATTAATCTACAAGTCCAACATTATGTAACTCCATGCATTCATTTGCCCCAATTCTACTTTCCCTTCCACACAAACATGTTTGAAGACTTTTGTGTGTTAGCGTATGATTTTATAAAAATCTCTTTGAAAAGAAAAGAAAGATTGTGGCAGCAGATGCGAAGGTATTGAAAAGAAACAAAAGCACTTTGTGTATTTTCACTAGTCTAAAAAAATCAAAAAGAGAAAGAAACTGAAAAGTGGGACATCTCCCCAAGCTTGTCTCAAAACCTCTCAAGGGCTTTGTTTTGCCTAAGCAGGGAGTCTATTTATGCATTCATTTATAAGCCTGCTTCAAGTATTTGCAGTGGAAAACAAACTATTTGCTAGAGACACTGATATAAGTCCCTGTTGTGAGAGCACATTTATCTTATAGGATAAATTTGGTGTCTACTATTAGAGTGATATTAGATGAAAAGAATATATATATATATATACACAAATAAAACTGTGTTCTTATCCCTATGCTAACAAGCACAATTCGATGCAGGCGGTGGGCTTCCCTAGAGTCTCCTGCATCCTGGACTGTCTTATACTGACAGGCAATGGTTTGTGAAGCTGTATGTTAGAAATGATAGTGAGCAGCCCTGGAGCACCTCAGCCTAACCCTTCACACAACACATGTCCTATATATCACTATTCACACTACCTGCTGAAGTTTGAGAACAATCCATCTGCTGCAGACTGCATCACAAATGGCAAACTAAGGATGCATGGACCTGAGAGTCCACCTACACAGCTACAATGTTCAAGTCAAGCTATGCAGTATTTTCTGAAGCAGTTTAGGTCTTTCAACATGTGTAGCAAGATATCTCCAGGCTGGAGTGTTCATTCCTGCGCTGTGGTAAACTAGAAGGCTAATACTGTGTAACCCTGGATTCACACATCTATCCATCCGTCTAGTCCTGTGGTTCTCAATCTTTTTGACTCCAAGGCCGCAACAATATTCTGTTGCCCAGTGATCAAAGATTAAAGATGAGGATTTTTACAAATATTTTTTACAATTTTACTCATTAAAATATTTTAGAGCTTGACATAATTAGAAAATATATATTCATATTCAATGTATAAAAACTGAATTTTATTTTTTAAACAACATTTTTTAAATTAGGTTGGTGGGAACCATGGTTCCTCAAAGTTTGTTTTGAGGGTAAGAGGGTGAATTAAAATAAGAAATATTTTGTTATTAATGTTATTTTAATTCTTGTCTTATTTGAAATTATTTTAAAGTCATCTTAAAATAACCTGAAATAAAATCATTTAGTGGGCCCTAGCCCCTAGTTGAAAACCACTGGTCTAGTTTGTGGTAGTCTATAGTCTGTTTGCTTGCTTGTTTGTTTGTTTTTGCATCTTTTAGTCAAAATATAATATACCAATGATATTCAAAAATGGGTCTGCGATCCCTAAGGAGTTTAATGAAGTACCACAGGAGTTCTGCTAATTATTGTTTGATCACAAAGTAACTTTTGTGATGAAAAAAAGTTAAACAAAACAATAGTAGAATATTAAGTTAACTTTAGCTTTAATTGAAGTTATTATAGGTGTTATAGGCCAAGATTAAAATGCAGCAGTTTTATATAATATCTAACCTGAGGTCTCTGCTCTCACTCATCTCCATATGCACTATGTGGCTCCTTGGCATGAAAAAAGACCCCTGAATTATCCTGTTCATTTATTTACTTATTATTTACATATGTAAATGTAAAAAGTAGTCTTCAAACAAAGACTGTTTGCACATTCTGTTTGTTGTAGTAGCCTGCTGCAACAGCAGGTGTTAATTTGACCTTTAATACAAGGAGTTTACTCTAGACTGTTGTGCTTCTTAAGGCCACTGTGGTGATGACATTTAGCCTATCGCTCTTTTGGGTGAGTCAGTTACTGTCAGTAAATGGAGAAACCTTAACAATGGCATTTAAGGTTGTTCGTATTGGTTAAATGAGGATGTTGAAACTTTAATATCTTGAATTTGTTCGGTACAGGTTGGTTTGGGCTAAAAATGACATTTATATTTGTATTTTTATTCAATAGTTACTTAAACATACACATTATGCATAATTTAAACATGTAAATGATATACTACTGCCAAACGTTTGCAATAATTAGGATTGTTTTTAATGTTTTGAAAGAAGTCTCTTATGCTCACCACCAAGGCTGCATTTATTTGATAAAAATACAGTAAAAATAGTAGTACTGTGGATTTTCAAGAGCCATAATGTCAGTCTGGTGGTGCTCATTTATTAATAATGCTTATTAATATTATCAATGTTGGTTTTTGTTGCTTAATATTTGTAAAGAAACATGATGCTTGTTTTCAGGAGTCATTAATGAATAGAAATTTCAAAAGAACAGTATCTTATTTAAAATAGTAATATTTAGTAATATTATGAATGTATGTATAAATGTAGCCTAATACAGTATATACTGTGTGTGTGTGTGTGTGTGTGTGTGTGTATATATATATATATACACACACACACACACACAGATATATATATATATATATATCTGTGTGTGTGTGTGTGTGTATATATATATATATACACACACACACACACACAGATATATATATATATATATATCTGTGTGTGTGTGTGTGTGTATATATATATATATACACACACACACACACACAGATATATATATATATATATATCTGTGTGTGTGTGTGTGTGTATATATATATATATACACACACACACACACACAGATATATATATATATATATATCTGTGTGTGTGTGTGTGTGTATATATATATATATACACACACACACACACACAGATATATATATATATATATATCTGTGTGTGTGTGTGTGTGTATATATATATATATACACACACACACACACACAGATATATATATATATATATATCTGTGTGTGTGTGTGTGTGTATATATATATATATACACACACACACACACACAGATATATATATATATATATATCTGTGTGTGTGTGTGTGTGTATATATATATATATACACACACACACACACACAGATATATATATATATATATATCTGTGTGTGTGTGTGTGTGTATATATATATATATACACACACACACACACACAGATATATATATATATATATATCTGTGTGTGTGTGTGTGTGTATATATATATATATACACACACACACACACACAGATATATATATATATATATATCTGTGTGTGTGTGTGTGTGTATATATATATATATACACACACACACACACACAGATATATATATATATATATATCTGTGTGTGTGTGTGTGTGTATATATATATATATACACACACACACACACACAGATATATATATATATATATATCTGTGTGTGTGTGTGTGTGTATATATATATATATACACACACACACACACACAGATATATATATATATATATATCTGTGTGTGTGTGTGTGTGTATATATATATATATACACACACACACACACACAGATATATATATATATATATATCTGTGTGTGTGTGTGTGTGTATATATATATATATACACACACACACACACACAGATATATATATATATATATATCTGTGTGTGTGTGTGTGTGTATATATATATATATACACACACACACACACACAGATATATATATATATATATATGTGTGTGTGTGTGTGTGTGTGTGTGTGTGATTTTATAGATATAAAAAGATATAGGTATACAAAGATATATATAGGTATATAAAGATTTCTTATGATATGAATTTACATAATTTAACGTTTTATAAAACCATTATATATTACGTATTATAAATAGGCTATAAATATAAATAGCCTTTTTGTTATTATTTAATTAACTTTTATAGTTCTGATTGTTTTAAGTGACAAAAGAATATTTAAAAATGTGTCAGCTTTAATTATTTTTAAAATTATTATTAGTGGTACCCAAGGAGGACGGAGTCTCCATGGCAACCTCATCACTCCTTTTTATTATCCACTTGTGCTGTGAACTGTGCTGTTTGCCGCGCGCTGAGAGAGCTCGTGTCCAGCAGTGATCGCAGATTATAGCTCGTCTCGCGCTGCTCAGGTCCCCCTCTAAGGTTTTTGAATTTCCCACGCCAGTTCGTGTCACATCCGGTTCAGCACCACTGCTTGGCCCCGCTTCTCAAATTTCCTGCCCACACCTACTCTCTCGTATTAACCAGCCAAGTTTGTCTAGTGATGAAGTAATATTTTCGCCGCTTTCCTGCTCATCCCCACATTCGCGGTCGGAACGCAGGTCCAGCAGGACAGAGGACGAGGAGGCGTCGAGAAGCTGAGATGAGATAAATATGCAAAGAGGCGGCTCCGCAAACCATTCCAGTCTCGTTTTTTCCATTATTTTGGCGCTGAATTAAATATATGCGTACATTCAAGAGGAGCATCTGATAGAGAGCCGGACAGCTGCACAGAAAACAGCTCTGCATGTGATATCCTCGGATCAGGTGGCATCGGCGGCAGAAGATGCAGCCTGCAAGCAAGCTCCTGAGTCTCACCCTCCTTGTACTGATGGGCACTGAACTCACCCAAGTAGGTTTATAAACGCCATTTTCAGCGCACATCTCAGGCTAATTAGGCAGATATGCTCAAAATAAGCCGGTTTCGTGTATTATCATAAAGGCAGATTAATCTATTGGGCAGCAGAGATCGGGATGGACTAATAAGATTAAACCTCATTTAGAAGAAAAATCACAGCGGGGATTCTCTTTTCTAGAGCTTTTATCCCACATGGCTAGGGTTTTTTAAAAATAGTAACTTCTATGTGGGATATAGGCTTTATTGTAGGTGATTATGAATGTCTTTACAGAGTAATATATGAGAGTTTTAGTATTTAAAGATAAATGCATCTTAGTAGCAGTGAAGACTCTGTTAGTGTGTGTGAGACAGTGATCGTCACTATAATTTTATCATCTGTATGATTATTCCTATTGAAGATAAAACACTCCAGGGCTTGTGCAGTGTATTCTCGTTATCCACACACTGTGATTGTCTCTGACACTCTACAATCTCACTTTGAAGACAAAAATGGCGAGTAAATTGCTTTCTCCACACTCCACATTGATGCCTGCTCTTCAGTAACTAGTTTTTCTTTACGCCTTGACATTAAATCCCTGTTGGTGAGTTAATCAAATGGTAACAGCTATACTGAATGGACAAGGTCGTTAGTCTTAATGTACAGAAAAGTAATATCGCAAATTTAACTAATGTTGCCTCTTTTCTATATTCTCCATGCATTGTTTTGTGCAAGAAAAAGGGTTGATTAAATTTATGTTTTTGTCTTTCATGGGGCATTTTAGTTTACCTTAATACTACAAGTTTTTAAACAGGTTAAAATGTTCTAATTCATTATACTGTATACAGTAGTTGTGAATTATTGGATGATTCATATAACAAAATCAGTCATCTGAAACTAAGTGCCATGTGCCATCATTTGTAATCTGTCCCAAATTATGAACCACTGAAAAAGAGAGAGAAAAACAGAGATCCTGTCTGATTCGATAAAAAAAATCAGGTTGACACAAAAATATATATTGTTTCCTCCCTATTATGCTAACTATGGCATTAGGCATAAAACCTTCATATTATAGCATGCTAATAATATCACAAGTTAAACATTATTTTAGACAACATATTTAATCAATCTTAAGTAGTAGTTTCACATTCAATTTCATAAAATTAATTCAAAATGTTCATAATTCTGATTGGCCTGCACATGTGCAAATCAGTGGTTAATCAGATATTTATCTTCATGCGTTAGCGCAGGTGAAAACAAGTGTTGCTAACCAAAATTAAAAAGAAAAGAAAAAACAAGGACAGAAAAGGAAGAAGAAGAGAACAAGGATGTAGATTAAAGCTGTTTAAGAGTTGAGTCTGTCTGTGAGTGCTAATTTGTCACTAGTTCATTTAGAACGTGTCTATGGTGTATTTGTGCATACAAAAAAATGCAAAAAAAAACAAAACAAATAATAATAATATGATGCATGGTTGGGAAGGGGGTGTTGAGGGTTTGATTGGAACTTTTGTCCAGGAGAAAAATGTTAAACTGAGAAGGAAGCCTGTACTGCCCTCTGTTGGCTAAATAATACCATGAAATGCTGAGAGATAACCTGTGTCAATGTTCAGCTATCCTATTAAAAATCCCCTGTTCAGAAGTGACTCATAAATAGCACTCATAAAGCACTCAATTTTAGGCTGTGCATAAGTGAGTTATCTTTTTAATCAAACATCTGTTGATATTTCAGAGTTTAATGAAATGTTCAGAGAGCATTAACAATCATAGCTACTTTAGAGAACATAAATAATGGTGGGTAGCCTACTGTGCACTGCACGCGGTAGAGAGAGCCTCGATGGCTGCAATATTACACTGATGAGCCGCAACACAGCGCGCGAATTATTCAATGGGGTCGACTTTACAGAGGACCCTTAGCAAGTAGATCATTTCCGTCTCGCGTAAAAATGCAAAAATTGTATCGTCTCCACCAGCACCTTTAACCGTTCGCATAAAAGCCGTACAGCAAAGCGATAGATATAATGTTTTGCCGATGCCCCCCTAGCCTACTTTTTATTGAGTCATATAACATAAACCATTTAAATCAATAAAGCAATGAATTAAAAACCTTTTAATCTACAAAAAAATCGATACTGACCTAGTATAGGCTAGAAATGCGCTCCGGTAGCGAACTGTCGAACGCGATTTATGTTCGCAAACGCCTTTTTCTGAAAAAACTTTTTTTTTTTTTTTAAGGTTTATTACTTAATAAAACATCGCTTGCTGTTTTAAAACTAATTTGAGAGCAAAGTATGCTACAATTGTCTATTAAAACCTGATTTTAACTATTGCTGTTTTTAACCAGCTATTGCTGGGTATTGTGAGAGTAGCGAAAAAACGTTGTATGTGTTTAGTGATTTAGTATATCCGTGCGTCAAGCTCCTGGAGGAGGTTTGTGATATTTATGAATATTTCACCAGTATAGCGGGTGGGCGGAGGCACGGAACCAATGAGATGAGATGGTCTGCTGAACCTCCGTCATTATTCGCGTGAAGAGAGAAGACAGAACAGCACACTACTCAGAAACCGAGAGAGCTCGAGTAATTATAAAGTTCAGTATAGCATAGCGCGAGTAGAAATGCCCGAGATGAATTCATTTACACTGGGTGCTTTACAGAAGCACATCACCTCTGTCAGCAGCGCAGGTTACAGTTTTCTCCTGGAACGTGTATAATGAAGGTTACTGGGAAAGAGGAGAGCAGAGATGTCGGTGCCTTTGCTGAAAATTGGAGTAGTGCTCAGCACGATGGCGATGATCACCAACTGGATGTCGCAAACCTTGCCCTCTTTAGTAGGTCTGAATAGCACCAAATTAAGCGTGGCACCTCCGGGTGTGCCGGACCGGAGCACTGGCGTGAGTTTCTTTATTCTCTTTGTTAATGAGCTGTAAAAAACACTGAATTATTTATACCTTATAAATTATACTATTTAAATAATGTAGGTTAGAAAATGGAAAAAGTATGTTGTTCATACACAGTAGCCTACTCTAAACACATCTATTCCGACTCCGGAATATAGCCTAGGATAGATATTTTTAGCTACCATGTTAATATAATGTTTTTAAAAAATGTTCTGTGCCGTTTTGGTTACATAGTATTCTTTTAAGTACCTTGGAGTACCGTGAAATATCATAGTATATAAATATGATAATGATTTAGTAGGCTACTGATTGAGGTCCCATTACAGTAGTATGAGGCAGTGAAACTGTTTAAGTGTTTGCCTGACTTTTGTGTGTTGGTGGAATTGTTGCTGCGCTATAGCCAGAAAAAAAAAAGTTAGACCTCAATTATTCATTTGGACTGCACGACTAATGTGCATATAATAATAGTGGACCTATTCCTCTTTTATGTCTCTGCATGATTCATGTAGTGTAGCAACACAAAAGGTGGCAAATAATATAAACTCATTTTTTGACATTGAACTTTTGCAAAGGAAAGCAAAAATGCATTATCAGTGTTTCTTGTTTAAGACATCCTGTATTTATCAGAAGGTGTTCGTTTATGGGACGAGGTACTAGGAACCAGCGGGTTGGAGTTGAGCAGTGACAGCGTGTGAATTTATTTTAATAGATATCCAAAATGATGCAGATTTTCCAATGGGCAAAAACCTTTGTCTTCTCAGGTTCAAACGATGCAATCAGGTAAAAATGTGTCTCAGCAGGGGGAGTATTGACTTTGAGTGTGTTTATAGTCTTGAGTATTTTTTTTATTAGTCACCTGCTATCTTGCAAATCCTGTGTTGAAATCTATACTAATTAAATCAGTTGTTTGTGAGCAAGGGAACTGTAAAAAAAATTTCTTATGAAATATATGCCTCCACTATTTTGGTATTGTGATAAGCTCTGTCCTCAAAGAGTAAAAACATTAGATTTTATTATAATCTGAATTCAGCATTACAATGGCAGCAGATTTGCAAAGATGTTCCTTCGGTTTAATAAAAAGTGCTTTCTGTCCGCACTGGTTATGAATATGGATTATTCATTAGATTACTCAGGATTAGGACAAGACATACGGAAACGCTCACTCTTCCAGATGGCTCTTTTATGTAAAGCCACTGGGTCATAAAATCCCCTTCGAGAAAAGACCATTTCACATCAAAGCACCAACTATGAAAATCCTTTAAAAAATGGGTTTTGTCAGTATATATTGACCACTAATAAACTGCTCTGCTACTGATGGACAAGGAGAAACAAAATGTGAAAAAGGGAAATAAAATAATACTGTAGCTTGGCTTGAAGGAAAAAAAAAAATATTATATATATATATATATATATATATATATATATATATATAACAAATATATTATTATGGTAATATGTAATAACTAATTATTTTGAAATGAAAAGTAGTTTTAAAACTAAAATAATATTATTATGTATAACATATAAACTTTATAAACACCTTTGCTGGAAAACAATTGTGTATAGTGCAACACATTACTGATTTGCTTTTAATTTTCATTTTATTCTGATGAAACTCATGCTTCCAAGATTATCACAAGTCATCCTTAAAATTACAAAACCCTTGTCTAAATCATCCAAATAGTGTTACCTAAATAGTGTTTCTGCTGTTTACTTCAGCAGAATTCACAAAAACAACATTTCATAAACCACAGGCAACAAAATATTTAAGTTCACAAGACATTAAAAAACAATCCATAAATGTATGATTATTGCAACGTAAAACTTGCACTGGCATGACAGTTTCCATCAGCTGGCCATAAACTCTATCACTCTGACCCTTGTGTAGGGTTCAGGTAATTAACCTTCCCAAAGACTGCAGAGGGAGAAATAAGAAAACTGTTACAAAGCTGTTTCCCATAAAGCACATCCCAATCAGTCACTGACCTTTTTTCCTCTTCGTTTTGTCCTTTGCCCAGGTGCTGCCTACTAACCCAGAGGAGTCGTGGCAGGTGTACAGCTCAGCTCAAGACAGTGAGGGCAGGTGTGTGTGCACTGTTGTGGCTCCTCAGCAGACCATGTGTTCACGGGATGCCAGGACCAAACAACTGAGACAGCTCCTGGAAAAAGTAACCTTTGAAACTAATCCACACAAAGACAGAATACACAGCTCACTGAATGCCTTTCATAGTTCTGTTCACCCAGCACATGGCTTATTCTTCTTCTCTTATGTTCTCTTTTTCTCTCTCAGGTCCAGAATATGACTCAGTCCATCCAGAATCTTGACCAGAGGACCCAGAAAGACCTGCAGTATGTGCAAAGAATGGAGGTGCAGTTGAGAGGCCTGGAATCCAAGTTCAAACAGGTGGAGGAAAGCCACAAGCAGAATATCGCCAAGCAATACAAGGTGCGTACAAATGCATGTGCTCATCCAGATCAATGTGGTTATTCCACTATCAATGTCATTTTTCATTCGTGAAAGTTCATACAGTGTGTCTCATTTACCAAAAGATTAACTCACTTATTTAATTCAGCTCCCAATACTGGCCTTTAACATTACATTACAAATCAATCTGTGAGAAAACAGCACATTCATTTTCTGTACATTTTCAAGCCAAGAGAGCTCAGTATATTTGTTACGAATGATTTTGTCCTCCTGAGTTGATGCCACAGGCATTTTCCCCACAAGAAGTGAATTACAAAATATGATTCATTTTGGCGACATAGCATCTTTTCCATCTTAGCTATTGTTAGCTGTCTGACATCAATTGCATCTGCATGCTAATGAGGCCATTGCTAGTTTTATAAATGGAGGCGCAGTGATTTGGTTGCACGTTGCAATTTGTAGTGTATGTATCGAGCTCCCAAAGTGGCATAGATGTTATAGATCAGTCTTGCACAGTCTCTTAGTTCCTTCGGCATCATCTGGCCCTTTAAAGTCTTTTAAACAAAATAGTGTATTGAACATTTTGTTCTAGTCAAACTGAATGTTATGGTCAAGAACGTGGCACCTCTTGTTCATTTGCCAAGTAAGAAAACTACTCAAAACATTTTATGGCTTTAAACATTTATTACATGAAGGCATCAAATATTTGGATGCAATCGCTGGAAAGGTCATCTTATACACCATCATATGATCTTTATACCCACATGGGAGTCCATATGGTGCACGTTTTCAAAAGTTCAGGTATACACAGAGCATATACAAATATGGCATTTCAGCAGAAGTAAGAATACCTATAGAGTTTGATAAATGGATTCTTTGTTTGGACAAGGATGATTTTGCACTTATTGATCCCAGTATAATGTAATATAATATAAACTAGCTTTCAAATGTTTGGGGTCAATAAGATTATTACTAATTTTATTCAGCATCACATTTTATTTAGAAGCATTAAATTGATAAAAAGAGACAAAATATTTCTATTTCAATAAATGCTGTTTTTTAAACCTCTATTCATTAAAGAATTCTGAAAAAATGTCCCACAGTTTCCACAGAAATATTAAACTGCACTGTTTTCAACACTGAAAATAAAAAGAAATGTTTCTTGAGCACCAAATCAGTATATTAGAATGATTTCACATTAGGATGATTTCTCATGTGACACTAAAGACTGGAATCATTTAGCTTTGCCATCAAAAAAATGTTATTTTAAATTGTAATAATAATTGTAATTCGTTCCCTCATATTAGCAAATTGTGGCCATGTTGTACTAGTTTAATTAAATCAAAATGAGGGACCAAATAAGTATATTGTGGCCACAATTGAATTAAAATGAGAGAACGTATAGTAAAATGAGGGAACAAATTCTTAATGTTTGGCCATGATGAATATATTTTTGTCTGCATGCCATGTGCTGACCTCTGTACATAATAGATTTCTTTCAAAAATATAAAAATAAATCTTACTGTCCCCAAACTTTTAACGGGAGCGTATGTATAGTTTTAATTATTAGTAATGCTATTAGTATTATGTCCAGATTTATGTGCAGGAACCATCATGATTATTTGCACTTCTGAAAATAATTTCAAGCATGTTTTTGTGTGTTCATACTGTAGCTCATCCTATCAATTGATTTTTAAGATAAAATGTTGCATCATTTCTGTACAAACAGCTGTATCTGTGTTCTAAAATGTTTAGAAAGGCTAGCGAGTTAGTTATTCAACCAAATTTCATTTTCTTGCTTGCAGGGCTAACTTTATGAATTAAATCAAAGCTGCAGAGACTGAAGAACAAGTTCAATCCCATTGTAATCCTCAACTGGTCAACTGACTGCATCATTCAGTTTATTTTAAATACAAAGCACCATTGAATTCTGTTCACAGTCTTTTTGTGCATGCCACTATTGCAGCCTTCCTTGAGTAGATTTTCTTATGTTATGACATCTCCATGTCAATAATTCAGATTTGTTTATGCACATTTGGATATTTTGAAACAAGGGAAACTATTGTTGTATGTGAAGCATGTAACCCTCAACACCTTGCATTTTAAACATTGAAAAATAAAGAGAGTTTTTTTCAAATATTTGCTGGTGTACTGAGAACTTGTTTTATGCCATGTTGAACTCTACATCTATTTGCTAGGCACACTCAGAAATGATGATAAGAGTAGGCAGAGAGGGCAAGTATAGGGCAAGACAGGTGTTTGGACGCAATCGTTGCATGCATGCCTACTGAACCAAGCCTATTTTAACCTTTCAGGCCATAAAAGAGAAAATGGAGGAACTTAGGCCAATGATACCAGTGTTGGAGGAATACAAGGCCGATGCAAAATTGGTAATGCAGTTTAAAGAGGAGGTCAAGAATCTGACATCAGTGCTAAGTGAACTGCAGGAGGAGATCGGGGCCTTTGACTACGAGGAGCTTCACAACAGGGTGTCTAATCTTGAGGAGAGGCTTCGTGCATGCATGCAAAAATTAGGTAGGATGAGTTTGAGCACAAACACAAACAACCATTATATTTAATTTCAAAATATTATATACGACAGTGCACAAGAATATCTTTTTCTGAACACACACTTTAGTATGCAAGAAAATTATATAATTGTTTTAGTTTTTGAATCACAAAAAAGGCCAGAAAAAGCCACAATGAAAATATATTGGTGTTACTTTTACTCAACTATATTAGGGGATTAAAGACTGCACAAATAAAGGCACACTGCACATTTTGTTCTAATTAAAAGAATAATTCGCCCAAAAATAAAAACTGAAAATGTACATACCCTCAGGTCACTCAAGATGTAGATGGTTTTATTTCTTCATCAAATTTAGCATTACATCACTTGCTCACCAAAGGACCCTCTATAGTGAATGGGTGCCGTCAGAAGGAGAGTCCAAACAACTGATAAAAAACTATATATTCACAAGTAATCCACATGACTCCAGTCGATCAATTAATATATTGTGAAGTGACCAGCTGCATATTTGTAAGAAACACACCCATCATTAAGGTGTTTACACTTTAAACCATTGCTTCTGGCCAAAATATGAGTCCGTAATCCATAACGATGTTTCCTCTAGTAAAAAAGTCCACCCTGTTGTCCTCTGACATCAAAATCCATGTGTGTGTTTGTTTAGAACTTTTTTCCTATTAAGGGGAGACACTGCAGGCAAAAACACTATTTTTTCATGCACCTGTCAATTTTGAGGTTTTGGGCTTTTTGGCTTTTCAAAAAGTGTTGATAAAGACTAGTGGAAAGAAAACATCCAAAAGACACTGTTAACTGCTTATTTTATAGCACTTTATCTATTTGTGTCAATAGATTTCAATTACAATACATATTTTTAAAGGCCGTTTTCTCAAAATTAGTTTTTTCTCCTACACTGAGCCATACATCTTCACTTCAGTAGCACTTACATACACCAAACTTTAAATTTTTATTCCTGTCTATATTCTGAAGATTTTTACAGAGGGATTTGTTTATATATAATTTGCTTGATTGTCAATTTTGAGATTTTGGGCTTTTTGGCTTTTCATAAAGTGTTGATAAAGACTAGTGGAAAGAAAACATCCAAAAGACACTGTTAACTGCTTATTTTATAGCACTTTATCTATTTGTGTCAATAGATTTCAATTACAATACATATTTTTAAAGGCCGTTTTCTCAAAATTAGTTTTTTCTCCTACACTGAGCCATACATCTTCACTTCAGTAGCACTTACATACACCAAACTTTAAATTTTTATTCCTGTCTATATTCTGAAGATTTTTACAGAGGGATTTGTTTATATATAATTTGCTTGATTGTATACAACATTTTATTCCCCCCAAAAGTTCAGATTTGTGTACTAGAATTTTATGCAAATTAGCGCATATTTCATTAAATAATGCCTCATTTGCATATTTAAACATAACAATTTTGAAAACTTGTAATACAAAACATGTTTGCAATTATCAATGTAATCAATCAACTGGGTAAGTAAGGTGATAACTATTAGTTAATATTTTTTACCCTATTCACCTGCAGTGTCTCGCCTTAAGTGGTGCTTGAGACACCTTTTTTTTTTTTAACCGGAGAAGGCAATATAATGAATAAAGGACTTATTCTAGCCGGAAGCGAAGGTTTGAATTTAAAAACGTCTTAATGAACAATTTGTTTATTAAAAACACACAGCTTTTCACTTAAGAAGACATTAATTGATGGACTGGAGTCATGTGTATTATTCTGATGTTTTTTTAGCTGTTTGGACTCTCATTCTGACGGCACCCATTCACTGCAGAGGATCCATTTGTGAGCAAGTGATGTAATGCTAAATTTCTCCAAATCTGTTCCAATGAAGAAACAAACTGTCTGAGTACATTTTTAGTACATTTTACACATGTTCACAGCGCATTTAAAATAGCTAATAAAGTGTAGCCTCAGTGTTAATTGAAAATGCGAATTCAAGGATGCTTCGCATTACACACATTAGTCTTGACTCAATGAATGATGATTGAGCAAAAGACAAAACACTGTAATTTATTGTTCTGCTTGGAGGCATTAGCATGCTGAATTTAAACAACACAACATATCCCTGTCATTTTCCCTGTTTGAAATGCTGTATCTCAGCATAGCTAATCTGATACAGATAGTAGCAGCAGATTCAGATGTTGCCTTATTCTGAAGTGAGGAATGGATCTCATATGGATGTTAGACACAGACGTGACTAATGAGAAGCTGCTGTGCTGTTCTCTCCTCTAACAAATGCCTTTGGGTCCACCTGAGCCATGGCATGAATTCATAGCGACTTTACAGGTTAATTAAATAACATTATCAAAATTCAATATGACAAGACACAGTGTCTGACACATCTCTGATTTACAAACAAATCCTCAGTTTAATGAAGATCGTATGATTTTATCCAAAAGCAAAATGTACAGTTTCACAGGAATCTTAATAACCATTCATACATTAGAATATAGGTCAGAAGCTCTGTGTAACAATAGAGAATTGCTCTTGCTTCTTTTTGGAGCATTTATTTTAGATTCAGAGGAATAACAGATTTAGTACGCATGCATAATGCAAATGCAGCCTTACTTTGATTGATTAAAGGAGGACACCATGCTGGGTTTTGGTGCTTAACAATAAATACCAAAAAAAAAAGAGCAGCAGTTGTAAGTTTTCCACTGAGCCAAAAGCTACATGTAGTGATAAAGAGAGACATCTAAATATGATCATGGGGTTCTATTGAAAGATTACTGCTCTCAGTACAGTAATCTCCTGGCTGCATGAATTTCTAATGCTGCATTTCACAAGGGACTTAAATCTGATAATTTGTTCACCAGTATAAATAATGTGGACTTCATTCATTGTTAATATTACATTCATAGTTAATAGGGTTTTGAAGGAAGCCTGAACCAATTATTTTGTGATTGTTGCCCACAAAATTTCAAGCAGTTTCAGCAGTATCCTGTGATGTGCCACAATTTTTGTACAGTTATTCTATAATTATTATGGCAGAAATGTATATGAGCCCATATTTAATTTAAAGGCTTCATGTAAAATTTGCACTTTAACTAAATAATTTATCACACCATAGGACTATTTAAAAAACGTGTATTATATTATATTATATTATATTATATATATTTTAAAAAGGTATATTATATTATATTATATTATATTATATTATATTAAGGTTCAAAAGTTGGGTTTGGTATACGTTTTTATTTTTTTATGTTTTGATGAAAGAGTTCTCCTATGTTTCCCAAGGCTGCATTTATTTGATCAAATACATCAAAACAGTAATACTGTGAAATATTATTACAATTTCAAATAACGGTTTTCTATTTGAATATATTTTAGATAGAATATTAATCCTAAAAATGATTTATTCCTGTAATGGCAAAGCTACATTTTTAGCAGCCATTACTCCAGGCTTCAGTGTCACATAATCCTTCAGAAATAATTTTAATAGACTTTTAATATGCCAAATGCTCAAGTAACATTTCTTGTTATTATCAATGTTGAAAACAGTTGTTCTGTGTAATATTTTTGTGAAAACCGTGATACATTTCCAAGATTCTCTGATGAATAGAAAGTTCAAAATACAGCATTTATTTGATTTAAGCAATTTAAAAGTCTTTGCTGTCACTTTGGATCAATTTAATGGATCCTTACTGCATAAAAGTATTTGCATGAATATCTTTAAGCAAACAACAATTTCTGACCTCAAACTTTTTGAACAACTGCGTATTTACATACATTCATGTAAAATTTATACTAAAATCTTGATTTAAAAAGTCAACAACCATTTACAGTTCTATTTATTTTCTTAGAAAGGTGCATATGCGAAAGATTAAAATCACCAAGTCAAAGTAAAGAGTTACTCATACATTAATGGAAGTATTAAGTTTCTGATAAGCTTCTCTAACAGATTATTCCATTACAGTAGCACAGTAGATTTAGCAAAAGAAAACATGGGATGGGTTGGCAACATTTAATGCCATGACATTATGTAAATATCTGAGAAAATTACATAAAGCAGCAGCAGTCACACATTAGCGATGTATGGCTGTGAACTCAGTGTTGCTTGCTGTATATTTCAACATAACTGCATCAACAGTCAGTGTCAGGCACTATAGATCCTAGCCTTCAATCCACTGTATGTTCAGTTGTACTACTGCTTTGCAATCCTAGAAAATGTTCTCCACTACGTTATCACCTAAATACACTAATAAAACTGTGATTTATCGCCTGTGACAGACTATTCAGCTAACATTTGGCCATCGGGTCTGGTGTAAAGACTGACCACCTGTGCTGAGGCAATAATCAGGCTGGTAATTATGTGACTATTATGTACCATAGAATATCTTTGAATGTCAGTCTGTTCAAGGGCTTTGCAATGTAGGGTAAATCAGTATTATTTGACAGCAGTAATTTTATGCCAAAGCTTCTGAAAATAGATATAGTTTAGTGATTTGTAATTTGAAATATAAATATAAAATAAATATGAGACATGGGCAGTCAGCTGGTCATGATCACAAAATAACTCAGATGTAAAGCAGAATGTTCTTATATCAATCTGAAAGGGTTTATTAATGCCTGGCTGACTCACCAAATAAATAAATACATGAACATGAAATATTGATTTCAGTTTTTTTATCATGTGAGAAGAAAGAGTGCGCAGAGGGAAATGAGCGACTTAAAACCAGCATGGAGACCGGTTGCCAGGGACAACTCTCAGATATACAGTTTCACGTCATTATGACCGCAGAATTCTGTGATTGACCAATCAGAATCAAGTATTCTGGAGAGCCGTGTAATGACACCAGATAGCCAGGTCAGTGAAATACAAAACAGTTCTTTCCCCAGAACTGGCTCTGTTGTGGTTTTACATAAACCAGCACGATGATCGCATTTCAGTGCCAAGAACAGAATATTGGAAAAATATCATGGGAAACAGAGGAGTATCTATAAATGTGCATTTCCTTTAAAAGCAGTTGCTTTGCCCAAGTGGACTGCCAAAACCGCACAGCCAGAGAAAGAAAGAGAAAGGGAAACCGCATCGGTTCTCCGAAAGACATAAAGTGACAGAAAAAGAGAGAACATGTGGTTCAGAAAGAAGTATAAATGAGAGAAGAACACACTTCCATGTGTATGAGGACTCTTAAAAGACGTCTAAACAAGTTATGCTCCAGTGCGTCTGTCTGACACTGTGTCAAAACAGAGAGTATGAGAGGTTCACTGATGCCTGCAAACTTCTGCCTGAGTGCCTAACACAACCCAGAATATGACAGAAACTCCAACGCCTCCCCCATCCACCTCAAACCCATTTACCAGCGCAAAACATTGAAGTTTAACAGCATATCACTCACTCATACGAAAGCAAACGAGCAGCGTGTTAAAGGAAATGGAAGAATTCACCAGAAATTAAAATTGTCATCATTTACTCACACTCACATCATTACAAATCCATATGACTTTTTTTCAAAGAGATGTCAGACTACTCTTTTCTATGCAATCAAAGTGAATGGTCACCAGCTAGACTACTGCAAGTACAGCATTCAATATGACTCTATATTCCAAAGTTATTCATGTGATTTAAATATGCATATTACAAACAATTATCAGATACATGAGAACAAATGACGTTTGGTATCATTGACGCTAAACCTGGTGTGATAAATATCAAAGTGCAACACAATATCATGAGTGAATAACTTTTTGCTGTTGTTGTTGTTTTTTTTTTACAAAAAAGCTATAATATGGCTCGAGGAGACTTATATAGCACACAAGTCTTACAGACTAATTTTAGGTTGATTGTATTGTACTTGACAGTCCCTGGTCACCATTCACTTTCATTTTCGTATGGAAAACAGCAGCATAAACATTCTTCAAAATATCTCTTTTTATGTTTTATAGAATAAGAAAGTCGAGCATGAGGGTGAGTAAATGATGAAAAATGATTACAATAAAACGTAGATTTTTACTTGTTACCATGTTTTACTGTTATCAGCTTGTGGGAAGCTGACAGGGATAAGTGATGCTATAACCATAAAGACATCTGGATCAAGATATGGATCCTGGATGACTGATCCGCTTGCCCCTGATGGTGATACGAGGGTGAGTTCATCAAATCTTTACTGTCTTAACTGAATTCCTCTGGATGTTTTGTGTAAAAGAAAAACAGCTTTAATCACTTCACACCCCTCACTTTAATCTCAACTGGTTTAGATTTTTCTTCTTCTTAGCTAAAATGTCTCTGACTTCGTCTTATCAGCACTCTTTTTGTCCCTGCAGTATATTTTCTTGTAAACATGCCATGAGTGTGGTTTATTAAATTACCGGCACACATTAAGATGCAAATGATAGGTGTAAATCTTACAAGATTTCATTAGTGTGGCAGCAAAGTCATTCCCAGTAAGAGCTGAATGATGTCTGTTAATTCCTGCGCCAGCATTTCCCACATAAAAATGTTTGTATATTACTGTTGGTTTCATATCTTTGTTTTCATACATACTTTAGTATTCTGAGCTAAAAAGCAAAATCTTGTACGACTGTCCCTGCCTTTGTACAAGCTGTTCTGTCTTTCTCCAGTTTCTTGAACAAATCTAACACATCCATCTTGGTTAGATGTCAGTAGCGAGTAAGTTGCGTGACAACTAATCCATGATCCCCCCCATCATATATTAATGCAACAACTTCAAAGAGGATGGCTGAAGGTGAAGCGGTGGAGTTTTTAGCTCCTTTGAGATGATCAATACAGTAGAAAAGCCCAGAAACAGAAAGGCATCTGGCCTGCAGATCTGTCTGAGCCTTAAATGATTGATGAGGGGTCAGATAGTTGCCCTTGCCTGAAGCCTCTGATAGCCTTAGTATTTATTTTAACAGTGAATACACACTTAAAAGGGTCAGACAGTTTAAAAACATGTTTGTTTTAAGAATTGGATTTTAGGAAGTCAGTTCAGAGCAGGGGTAGGCTAATAGACAAGTAAAGAGCAAATTTAATACATCAGTCCCAAAGACTCCGATAGCATGCTGACCTTGACTGTGAAAGAATCAATGACATAAAAGAGCATCCACGATAAAGAAAAGGGAAAAAAAATCACATGTGTCAAGTGAATGTCATGTGGTGTAACTATCCAGTAAAAAGTAATACTATATTTTCCTTTCACTGAATACATGTTTGCACACATTTAATCATCATTTTAATAAATAATTTTAAATATATTTGAATATACTTTTCAAGCTAAAACGTTTGTAATCCTGAATCCTGAATTATTAATGAATACATTTTTGGAGATTCACAACATAACAATTTACAATCAGAACTAACTGTGCCTCATCATAAAAAGGTAAAATTATCATATATGTTAAGAGGTTTACTGATCTTGTAACGGGGCTGATGAGACGAGAGGCGTGCGGGTCCATGTGCAAGCTTTTATTCACAAGAGAAGTGGTCAAACAGGCAGGGTCGAACAACAGCAAACAGGTATGGCACAGGCAAGACAAAGGGGAATTAGTTCAGGAACAGAAGGGTTAGAGTGAGTGGGTTTGGGGATACCAGCTGTGCGTGCAGACACCAGTGGTGTATCCCTCACACTAGATACCAGACTGGGATACCGAAAGACTGGCCTTGACGATCTGGGTGAAACAGACAGGACATGACAAGACACCTGACGATCAGCTGTGTCCTGACAAGACTCAGGATGATCAGCTGTGACATGAAGTGACTCAGGATGATCAGCTGTGACGAGACGTGACTCTGGAAGATCAGCTCAACTGTGACTTGACTTGGTTCATGAAGATCAACTTTCACATAACGGGGCGCTGTTGTGTCCGCCATTTTGTGAGCGTAATCTAGTGCGGGGGCCATTACACGAGTGAGTGCGGGGTCGCGTTCCTCCGCGATACCCACAGTGAATAGAGATCCAACAGTCAACAAAGTCCAAAAAACAACTCAGTGATGAACGCGGACCCTCGCGTCTAAGCTCAGATCGTAGAGGTTGATTAAGGCCATCACAAAAAAACTCTATCAAAAGACAGTCTGGTAGATCAGAATAGTGTGCTATGGCTAAAAATTTGCGAACATAGTTCTCTAGCGATCGCGGGCCCTGTCTAAGGGCTAACAAAATCCTCGCCATGTCCATACCTGGCCAATGTTCCTCTGAAAAGCTGCAAGAGTCAATGTAATGGTAGAATGACCCCTAGTGGCAATCGGCCGGAAGGCCACGGACCGGATTCGTGACAGATCTTGACTGCAATCAAGTTTTGATTTGCTTTGTTTTTTTGTTTTGTTCATACCTCTTAAGACTTTATAAGACTTTAATTGGGTGGAGAGAAGTTTTTACAATTTTAATAAGCAGTGAAGCAGTTTATTTATTTTATTCTGCAAAATAATCATGAAAAACTATACTAAACTTCTTAATAAGGTATTCTTTAAGAATTTCATTCTTTTATCTTTTTTGTCTTTTTTCTTCATGATATCAGGACAGTTGTATTTCTCTTACATTTTTTTACTGTATGCCCCCCCAAAAAAAAAATATATATATAAAATTAATTTATTTTTGGGAGAAAAAATAACAAAGACCATTTTCAGAAGCACTTTATTTTACAGTCCTGTTCCACATGTACATACTACACTGGTAATAACTAGGTACTAATCAATCAATCACCAACCTACCCTTAATGCTCGTGAACCTGCCATAACCTTAAACCAATGTAGTAACCTTATATTACCATGTGTTTTCTTAGATAAGTACACATACTGTAAAATAAAGTGCAGCCCTGTAAAATAAAGTGTATAAACTCTGATGTGCATTAATTTTTCCACCACCAGGTGTGGTACATGGACGGTTACCACAACAACCGCTTTGTCCGGGAATACAAGTCAATGGCCGACTTCATGTATTCAGACAACTTCACCTCACACCGGCTTCCTCACCCCTGGTCGGGCACAGGGCAGGTGGTCTACAACGGCTCCATCTACTTCAATAAGTTCCAAAGCAACACCATCATCAAATTCGACTTCAAGACAGCCACCATCAGCAAGTCTGGTCAGCTGGATTATGCCGGCTACAACAACCGTTATCACTATTCCTGGGGTGGTCACTCCGACATTGACCTAATGGTGGACGAAGGTGGGCTTTGGGCTGTCTATGCCACCAATCAAAACGCAGGGAACATTGTCATCAGCAAGATCAACCCACTGACCCTGCAGGTCATCAAAAGCTACACCACCAACCACCCAAAGAGGAGCGCAGGTGAGGCCTTCATGATCTGTGGGACACTTTATGTCACCAACGGATACTCAGGAGGGACAAAGGTCTACTATGCTTTCCATACCAACTCCTCTACTTACGAGTATATTGACATCCCCTTACAGAACAAGTATTCCCATATCTCCATGCTTGATTATAACCCTAGGGACAGAGCTCTTTACGCATGGAACAATGGACACCAGGTGCTGTATAACGTCACCTTGTTCCACGTCATTCGCTCTGAGGAACTCTAAAGTGACATTCTCCATCCCTTTGAGATATACAGTAGCACTGATGGAGTTTATTACTGAAACAAAAGAGTAATGCCTGATGATTGTTCAATAAAAGAAGACATAAAAATGTATCAAAAGTAATAGTTAATGGCAACATAATGAACAGCTGCCAAAATGTCTTTTTTTCTTTTGTCAGCTTTCCTTAGATAATTGTGTTTGAATTTTCACTGCAAAAAAATGTATTAATTAGTAATTTTGTCTAATCGTCCAGTAAAAATATTGAAACATTCTTAGAGGGGACATTGGATGCAAAAGTCACTTTTACATGGTGTTTGCATATAAATGTGTCTTAGCAGTGTAAAAATGTGTCCATTCATTCCTTTTTTTAAATCCCAGAAAAACCTAAACAGTTAATAGTTTTGTTGCTGATGGTAAAGCACCACAGAATACACAAAAAAAACTGAAGAGAGGGGCGGGGTGAGCAGTAGCTCATTATCATTTAAAGAGACATGCACCGAAACGGGTCGCTGTAAACAGCTGTTTTTGACATGGTAAAGGTGTTGTTTTACATGACCTTTGAGGATTTTCAACCAAAGTATGTTACAGACATTTCATGAAGACCCTAAGAGTCATACCAACTTGTGGAAAATGGGCATCTAATGTCCCCTTTAAAACAAGATCAATTTACTTGAGAAGCAAAATTGCATAAAATAATGTTTTTTATTGTTAAGCATAAATAAAGTTTATAAATTGCATTACTTTTTAATTCTTGCCAGTGTTTAACCATTCAGCGCTCGCGCGCTCTCCTGCAGACCGTGCGCTCAGGCACACTCGCACTCGCAGCGCACACACATAATGCCAGGTTCACATTACTCCGTTTGCAGTGCGTATGTGGTGCGTATTTTTTCCGCGCTCCTGTTCACGGATTAATAAAGCGCGCACACTGCACACCATTGCTGTCCGGCAGTGTGTTCCGAGCAGTGCAGAGATGGTTTCCGCACCGAGTCCATTTCTGCAGTAAATATGAACATGGATTGACACGAAAAATGTAGTAATTACACCATAGATGCATATTATTAAAGTCTACTGTGTTTCACAGTCAACACATATGGC